TAGAAAAAAAGTTTTTCAGAAGTTCGAAATTAAGTACGTGAAAACTATTTTTTGAGAGTTACCCCTTGAAAAGGTTCGTAAAAAACCTATCTATCAGAGTATCGATATTGAAACTGCGCAGTATTAATTGAAGCTTTAATACGCAGCAAATACATGAACAAAGCTTACATTCGCGTGTATGCACTAATTGAAATTTCTCGAAAAAAAGGTTACATTGCAATTTATTTAATTGTTATTTGACCATATTAAAAAACAGTCAAATAACCATAAATAAAAGGGTATTCAAACTGTTAACTGTGGAGAAAAACGTTTATTAACTGCTTTCAATAAATACGGTTAAGCAACGAGAATTTTGTGACACCAACAATTCACCTAGTGAAGTGACTTAGTTCCTTGCATCTGCGTACCTGTTATTTTACCACAATTTTAGAAGGAAAATTCTGACACTGTGTTAACAATTCTACAGTAAATTGCACCATGACAAATACCAATAATACCAAAAATGCCTATTAACAAAATTAATTTAACACATTGGCATCAATAATAGTATGGTGATTTACGTTCCTCCTGACCTAGTTAGTAACATATTTTCATTAATTTTGCTTCTCATTCTAAAACGTATTTCTTATTTCACTCGGCATCTATTACCATAATTAACTAAGCATCATTTGTGTAAATAATAGCACTCTAACTTTTTATGTTTTGCCACAAAGAATTATTAATTTTTCTCACTTAATTTTGCTTTCGAATGTACATATATTATTGTCTTATTTTAATTAGCAATTATTACCAAATTTAGAATGGCATTACAGGTGTAAAATATAGTATGACGCGTTTTAACTTTTCTCTAGGAGAAATTTGTACCATTTCTCCATTAATTATGCTTTTTAGAACATATTTTTTTATTTCAATAATCACCGATGTTCAAATTACTTACGAGTTATAGGCATCAGTGTTAGTTAGGAAATTTACTATGCTTCTCCTAAATGAATTATTGTCCTCGCTCCACCAAGTTTTCTCTTTGAAAAACTAGTTATGTAATGTAAAGCAAAATTAATGAGGAAAGAGTACAAAATTGCTGAGGAGAAAAACTGAAAAATCGTTATAGTATTATTGAAAACATTGATGTTAGAATTATTTTGGTCAAAGATATTAATTGAATAAAAAAATAAACTACGTAAAAAGGAGGAAAGTTAATGGAGAAATGATACTAATACATTTATGAGAGGCGTAGTAAATCTCTGTACTAATAGTGATGATCATAGCGTTTTTTAATTTGATAATCGCTATTAACTGAAATAAAAAAAATATGTACTAAAACGCACGTTTAATGGAAAAATGGTGAAAATTCGTTTAGAAGAAAAGTAAAATTTCTCCATAATATTATTGAATCCAATGATCCATAATTAATTTTGTCAATAGGTGCTAATTAAAATAAAATAAATTTTGTAGTGAGAACTAAAATCAATGGATTAATGGTACTACTTCATTTAGGTGGGACATAAATCAAAACTCTAATATTGATCTTTTAGTATCTTTTGGTATCATGTGAATTCGTGAAATATAAATCAATATTAATTCAATATTATATTAATGTTGGTAAAGTTACTTATTTTGTTACCAATTAAAACTGCATCAACACTAGACAGTTTTAATATAAATACTGTGATAAAAATGTTCAACCTGCCTTAAAAAGGAATAAGTACTAGAAAAAAAATCGCTTAATATTGGTACATTTTAATCATCATGATTTTGTCTTGAACAATAGCATCATTTCAAAAGATACTGAATAAATTCATCATTATTTTGACGGGATGACCTACTAAAACTGTGTTTCTATTCATCTAATACCGTAAAGCCTCCGGCGATAATAACAATAACAAATAATAATAAATAAATAAATTTGGAATTATTTTTGGGTGTTGTGTTGCTATATGTCTTTCAAATTTGTGCATGACTTCATAGTGCTATTCAGCACTGATTTATTGACAGTTTAACTTTTGTCATAACATTCGGCTGATTCAATATTCAACTAGTGTTCAATATAAAAAAAAATTAATCTAATGCGTGGTTGACAAAAGCTGTCTTTTTTAAATCTGTCTAAAAATTCTAAAAACGAATTTTTATCTACATGGAGAAAAATATTCTGATAAAACTACCGTACTGTATGATAATGACATATCTCGTAACATAATTCTGGTTAATAAAACCAAAATATACGGTTTCTAAACCACTCATTTGATAATTAATAAACGTTTATCTGGTAGCAGTTTAACGGAAATGCAGGTTTTCAGTTCTTATCATCACACATGTAGGGATGTGTTAATATCTTATTTCATTTTCGTTAAAGGCAATGTTTTTAAAAAGGATTAAAAATTGAGCAGTTTAAAAAATAATTTTATTATATAATACGCTTGCAATTAGTCGAAAAAGAAAGCTCTATACTCTCTACAAATTGGGTACAATCTATTAAATTGCATCTTATTTAGTCATCCAAAAAAAATCAATTTACCTAACAAATGGCGTATAATTTAGGTAAATATAATTCTGTTCTATATTAAACGAAAGAGTTAAAATCCTTCTATTTAAAATTAGTGAAGTGGTCCGTGCTGAGTACAATGAAAAATGACAGTTTTTCAACTTTTTTTTCCTGCATAAATGTGAATAAAACATTTTATAAATATGACTAAAAATATTTGTACAAAGATATTTAATGCACAGATATTTCTTCATATAATGAACTTTTGATAAAAAAAAACATTATAATAATTAACATGAATCACGTCGAGACAATATTGCAAAATGTCATTGATTATATGTACTTGTCCGTTCACTTTGAGAAAGCGATTGATTTAAAAATAATGAAAAATTAAGGAAAATAGAAAATATATTTTAAATATAAATTATCTTAATTGTTAAAACATATAGTTCATCTTTAACAAATCAAGTTAAAACTGATTAAACTGCATTTCATTTCTTAACTAGGGGTTTCATCATCTACTCGCCAACTCCCGGAATTTATTTCACAGCTCTTATCAGATTGCTTATCAATTCGAACTAGCTTCGCTCATTCCTTAGACACTTATGTATTTCGGTATACCTTTACATGTACTTTGTATGCCAATACATATACGGTGTTAAAATATGCAAACTATATATTGTGTAAAACCCTTATTTTAAAAACATTCAATTCCATTTATATAAATTACGATCATTTATATACAAAATTATATATTGTAGTGCTTAAAGGCACAACGTTAGTTTAGCCAACATTTGTTGATGAAATATATCTTACACAATCGATAATCATAAAGCCTCGTTGAAACTAAAATATTGCTCTGAATCTGCTTAAATTAATTAACATATTTAAACAAATATTTAGATACATCATATATGGGGCAAAAAGTGTACCTGTTCGAAATAAATTTGATTTTTTAACTCTTTTAATAATTCAATACGCTTAAAAGCAATAAATAAAATAAACATCTCAAAAATGGATAGTTGCTAGGTGACAAAATTGTATTTTTAAATTTAGTAAAACAATTGAATCAATGAGTTTGAAAACACGTCATCTACATATGAGTTCCAATGAAGATTACTTGTTTTCGGACGCATCGATTCAATTAGATGCAAATTTTTCTTATTACAAAGAAAAAGTTTTAAAATTCCTTACCGCCACTATCTTTCAAACTATTTATAGTTCGTGATTTATATTTCACTACTTTTTATCTGTGTCTATTCATTCTCATTTCATACAAAGATATTTTTGGCATAGATAATTGTTTACAAATATTTTTTAATAACATTATTAATTAGTTGCATGCGTTCAAGCAGATGCAAAATCGCGAAATTGTCCTAAATTATTTTTAGTTTTTTTATAAAAAAAAGACTAAAACTATATAAAATAATACGTTTACTTACATATACATATTACGTATTCATATTATGATCTCCTTTAATTGTCAAATAAAGCTCTAAACTCCAATATACCAGATATAATCAAGGCAGTTAAATTTTTTTTTCTAAATTCAACGAAAATAATTCTGCTCTGTCAATAAATGCATAATCCAAGCAACTAGATCATCTTTCTAACTTCAACCGAAAAATTCGATGAAAATTATTCCTTTAAAACTAATAGGTTATTATACTTCGGAGCAACCAAAAATTTATATTGCTTATCTCATTTTTTTTAATCTCAATAAATCAATTATGAAAATTGGCATTTAGTACAAAGTTATTCAGGAATCAATACACATTTACAAAAGATTTCTTTAATAAAATAATTGTATGCATTCATACTCGAAGAAAAAAAAGTATTGTTAAAACTGTCATAACATTGCAAAATTTACTGTATTTTTGGCTGTGTGAGAACACCTAAAGGCTCGGTAATTTTTAGCGAATAGCTTTAGTAGTGATCCTGGTAAAAATAGACATAAAATGTGGTTTTATAATATGTGATAAATTTTTGTAAATGTGATAAAATTAGATAATTTGAACGTAATTCTTTAAATCAGATCGCAAAAAACATTTGTTTTGTAAGATTTACTTTTCAGTTTTTGTTATTTAAATGTGTTATAATAAGGACCATAATTTTGAAAACCAGATTCCTGTAAACTGCTATCATATGAACGAAAAAATTACCAAATGATTTATTAAAATACTTATATTTTAGTTTTATAAATCAGAATTATCACTACTCTACGGTGAAATAATTTTATAAAAATTTTTCCTTCGTGTGATTCCATGTGATTCAAAGTAAGAAAATTACCCTGAATAATATTTTCTTTTTGCTTTCCGCATGTTATTTTCTGGTTGTGCAATATACATTTAAAAAATAAAACAAATAAACAACCCAAAAATAACGGATTTTACGCTTTTCTCTTTTTTGTAAAAAAAAGCTCTACACACTCAAATCCTCTAGGTTCTAAACAACTACATTTTCTTTCTAAATTCGGGGCAGCAATTAGATTGAAATTGCCTCTGAGGTAAAAAATTCTTACCTTCGCTATCTTTTTCTTCTTCTCCCAAAACTGGCACAAAAAGAAACACACACACTATAAAACTAATTGCGAAGTTGAAAGGAAACGAATCCAAACCCATTAGTGCAGACACAAGAAACACAGAATGAATCCTCAACTGAAATTCCTCCTCTTTCGATAAATGAGGGGAAACAAAGAAGAAAAATCAGTCCCACTCACTGTAAAATATACTACCGAGAAAAGTTAATCATTGGAAAGAAATGTTCGAATGGATACGACATAAACATTCGAACTGTTTCCTTTGATTAGAAGAAACCGGCCAAAAAGAACTCGGAATGAATTTTTTCATTTTACTTCATTCATTGAGGGTCATATCTGCAGTTTTTCATTCAAGGAAAGAGTATTTGAAGAAATTCCAGAAAGATGTGATCTTCGTAAGAAGTCTGAAATTGAGCACATCTGCAACCTTTATGCGTTTTGAGTTCCAATGGATATTCTCCGAGGATTCTAACGCCCTCTAGTGTTGTTTTTCGTTAGCTACTTCCCTGATTAGCGTGGTGAGGTGCTGTATTGGACTTTGATCTTTCTACATTCCTTCGGTACTAGTTATTTAAGGATTGTTTAGAGTGAAGCAAGGAAAATTAATACATTTTATGAATTTAAAATAAATACGGATTGTAATTTATGAATCTGAAAAATTAAGCTCTAGATTATATTTCTCTGAAAATATCTTTTATGTTGTTAATAAACTATATTACCTAAAATAGTTAATTAATGTTTTTGAAATAAAACTATTTAGTGATAAATATTTAATAAGTAAATATAACTTTGTAGCGCAGCTTAAACTTAAAAAGTTTTAGCCTTAGAAACAAAAATTTCAGTTCTTGGAAAAAGAAATAATGAAATTTAAAAATAGAACGATTGTTTGCCCCCCAAAAATTCCATTAATAGTTTTATCGTAGGTAATACGTAAAAACAATTTGTTCAACTTTGAAGAGTTAAAATTAAGTTGAAGTCCTACAAAGTTACTTTTTTAAGTTAATTTCTTAATTATTATTTTTTATTTTTACAATTTTTTTTAATTTCTTCCTATCTGTTTTGTACAATTATCGTTTCAATTTCTTATTATTTTCTTTATCTATTATTTCTACATCATTTTGTCAAAAAGTATTGATTTTGCAAAATAGTTTAAGAGAATAGGTTTATGTCTGAAATTAAAAAAAATTGTAATTCTTAAGGAAATAAATTTTAATCTTTGAAAACTAAAAAAAATTAAAATGAATTAATGCGCGTAATATGCGTAAATGTATTAAGCATCTTTAGTAAATGTTTAAGAACTCTTAGAGTTCTAAAGCTTTCACCCGTTTAACTTATTTTTTAAATCTATTATAATCCATTCTGCCTTGTTCTTTAATATTACGTTACTTTTAACAATTTTCAGCTATTTCTTTCAATTTTATCTGTTTTAATCAAAAGCTATTTATTCTACATTATTTCATCAGTTTCTCCATATTTGCATTCTAAGCTTTTGACTTTAGGGTGAGAGTTTTAAAAATTTAAATCAAGAAAACTGTTTTAGTTAAAGAGTAAATATAACTGCAGTCAAATCATCAATTAAACAGCTTTGATTAGGTAAGTTAAATAATAAATTTTTAAAAAAATATCACTGGAAGCAACTTTATCATAAATACATACAAATTTTAAAGTGACAATTATAATCAAACTGCACTGAGAAAAAATATGTTTAAATTACCGCTTTGTATTGTATTGATAATAATATTTCTGGTGAAAAAAAACCTTAATTCTAGTTAATAAACCCAAAACATAAACATTTAAACCACTGTTTAGTAATTGTTTCGTTTATATGGAAACGGTTAAGAGGAAATTCCGCTGTTTAAAAGTACAGATCTTTTTACCACACGCTTGGCAAAAAATACAAAACGGAAAAGTAAATTTAACCGAATAAATGGTTTTTGAGCCATGTACTTCAAAATATAGCTAAGCTTTTTGCTGTTCCCATAGAGTAGGAAACAATGTAAATTTAACCATATACTATTATTCTGGTAATTTTGAGAGATTTTATGCATTTGTTCCTAAGTTTTGAAAAATTTTCACTTGACAAAACCTACGAGTACTTTCTTTTATGTTTTCGTTGTCGTTAATCACGTCCAGTAGTGCTGAATCATCAACGCGTTATAATTATTATCATATTCTTTTTTTCCTACATCTATAACTGAAGCTGGCTTTTTCATGCTAAAAATATTATTCCAACACCATATAAGTGTTTTTCTTAGATGTTAATGTTCTAATAAAATAGAGATTGTTCCCTTAGAAAATTTCTAAATTATGTCACTGTGAAAATAACTGAAACATTTTTAAATTGTACAGTGGTCTTTAATTGAATTTAGTTATTTTTATCATTACTTAAGTTCTTTAACAATTCAATACAAATTTCATTTTACGTTCTCCTGAGCAGCATGTACAGTGCCCCAAGGAACAAAAAAACGGACCGCACTGAATAACTTTTGATCTTATGACTGGATCATCCCGTTTTAGGACTCAGTCTTAATGGCTCGTAAAAGTGGCCTCAAATATTATAATTAGTTTGTGCAGCCGATATTTCAAGTAATGAAATAAGATGCGAAAACATAATTTCTCTGAATACCTTTTAGGACCATTTTTTTCAACTGTTGAGGATTTCTGACCCCCAAAATATAGGGGGTAGTAGCAATCTGGGAAATATGGTTTCCATTGTTTTGCCAGGTGAGAAATCCAAAGTTTGGTCCCTATAATGTTAATTTAATTTTACTTTTTGCGTATTTCACTATATCTCGAGATTTTCTTAAGTGAATTGAAAAACTTTAACTCATTTATCTAAAGATAATTCCACGAAAATGAAATTTGGTAAATATTTGTCATTTTGTATTATTTTAGTTAATAAAAGTTGAAATAATCGGAATCAATTTATCAGGAACTTTTCAACTGATCTCGCTCAAATTTGTATTTTGCTGTGTAAAATTACATACTTTAAAATGACATGAGAAATCGTATACCTTAGAATTTAAAATTCTCTCATATATTATTAAAAAATAATAATGAAGAAATCATAAATATATACTAAAAATTATTTCTTGCATGGAATTAAGTTTGGATAAACGAAATGTATATGAATTTTCACTGTGTGCAAAAAATTTTAAATTCTCTTTAAAAAATCTTAAAATATATGCAAAAAGTAGAATTATTATTAAGGGATCCAAATTTCGGATTACTCTCCTGGCCAATCAATGGAGATAATATTTCCCAGATTGCGGCTACTTCCTATATTTTGGGGTCAGAAATTCGAATGCCTTGAAAAAAAAGCTAATTAATTTGAATGTTTCAGGTCACCCAGTTGAACCATTAGCTATTGAACGTGAAGGTCCGATCATTAGATCAAAAGTTATTCAGGATGGCCTTTTTTGCGCACTGTACAGCGAAATCATTTGTTAATATTCGTGTTCGCATTAATTACTCTAAAGTATCAGTATTCAATCATATAAACAGTTGATGTTAAATGCGAAAAATATTTCCTTAAACGGCACCTAAATTTATTCAGGTATATAATATTCTTCAGCTTTTGAAGTGCTAACTTTTCAATAAATTATGAAAAATCATTTTTATCTTTTATTTCATAAGCGGAATAAGAACTGCTTTCACAAGATTATTTTAATATAAAATCCGAACATGTGCGAAAGTGAACAAAAAAGAGTTCCTGAAATTGAAAATACGAGTACATTTATCCGCATGATACAATTTGATATCTTCATTTCTTTCCAGCGTCTCCAAACTTCATGTTTAAAATACTTATTCTATTGTTTTAACGCACTCATTTTAATGCAGAAATTGAAAGTTTCAATTTGAAAGTAGGTTTTGCTTATTACAAGTTTTGAACTTATGTCACTGTGACCGTAATAATGAGAAGTTTTTTTTCCAATGCCCACCTGGATAATGGCTTAGGTCATACAGGCACCTGAAGGACAGATTTGTTGGCCACTCTTTCAGGGACACCATATTAGGTGGGCCAACGTTGCTTCCACAGTAAGGACAAATAGTACACAGAAGGAAAGAACATCCAGGCCTTTCCCGGGATTCGAACCCAGAACCTTTCTGATGCAAGACTCAGACTTTAAAATAATTTTCTCATCTCTGATAAATCAAACAAATTTCTTCTGAACAATATACATAAGGGACAATACTTACGGACCTTTTATTGTTTTTTTTTAAGTTGGACTTAATGTGACCCACACTTAGGATCGTAATTTTGGAAGAAAAAAAAATTAGTAACTGGTATCCTCCCTATAACAAAACAAAACAAAAAAAGAAACTTTTAATTTTTTTTCTTCAAATAATTTAATTTTTTTACAATTTTTACTCTTTAACTCTGAAAATCTTAATAACAAATACAGATTTAGGTTTTTTTCTAAAAAGAATTTTCTATCAGAAGACGATTATGAAAGCAAAACTGATTCTTGAACGTTTGAATACGTCACAAAATTTAGCTGTTATTATTTTTTCTCCTATTTTTTAACAACATTTTCTTTAAGGTTTATAATTCCCTCTAAGGAAACAATTAAAAAATTTGTTTCTCCGTATCAAATAATATTTTTAAATTATTATTACATTGCAATCGGTTTGATTTTCTCTTCTGTTATCAACAACTCAACTTTAATTTCAGGGTTCAGTTTTTATTATCTCTTTATAGGTAAGTGCTCTTTTTGAGATTTGTTTTTAAAAAATGAAGCCAATTGATTATTTTTTGATAAAAAAGATAAGGCAAAAAAGAGAAATAAATAATCAATAAAGAGTGTAAAACATTGTTGTCGAACTTATTCATTCTTCTTTCAAAACAGAAGCAATTGTTCCCCACAGAATTGATTCAAAGGTAAATTATGTTTTCAATAATTTTTTTATAATTATTTCCTTCTAAGAGTATTTTTAATCAATTATTGATAAAACAATTAATAAAAAATGGATTATAGGTACTCATATGTACCTATAATCTATTTTATTTTGTTTGAATTACTTTCCAATGAAAATATTATTGATTCAAGAAAATAATATTTTGAATTAATATTTTAGGAAGGAATTTTCAATGAATGTATTACAATTATAAACTGAACTTAATTTAGTTAGTAATTCATTTAGATTAAAATATGTGTCGCTAAAGGGCATATTATAGTTCCTTACCTTAATAATAATATAAAATCTATTTTAGTACAATAACTTTCAATTTCTGGTGTAATTTGAAATTTAAATTTTCTTTTTAGTTCTTAATTATTTATTAAATACAGCTATGAAATTCGAAGAGCCATAAATATATATATTAATATTTGTTTTATCCAGTTTTTTTTATTATGTTGTACATAGACTTTTTCGGTCACTTCATCGTTCTCTTTGCAATTCCTATAAATTTTGATGTAAGTTAAACAGGGTGT